GCGCATACCTGTAATCCCAGCTACTCAAGAAGCTGAGACAGGAGAATCGCTTGAACCTCGGAGGCAGAGGTTGCAGTGAGCCAAGAGTGCACTATTGCACTCCAGCCTGAGCAACAAAAGTGAAACTCTGTCTCAAAAAAAGAAAAGATATAATTTATTACTACTTCCTTAAAAACAAAATAAAACAAAACAAAAAGACTGTCCTTCAGAACATATGAAGGAGATAATTTTTTCTTGTTATGAATGAATGAAACATGCTACGGACTGAATTGTGCACATCCCACCCCTCGAATTCATATGTTGAAGCCTTAACCTCCAAAGTAATGATATTTAGAGATGGGCATTTGAGACCTAAGTAGGTTCCTATGATGCGATAGTGTCCTTATAATTAAAGATGGCTCTCTCTCTCTCTCTCTGTCTCTATCTATCTCCCCCCAGTCCTCCGTTCTTGCCATGTGAGGACACAGGGATAAAGGCAGCCAACTGCAAGCCAGGAAGAGGGCTCTGACCAGATGACAACTATGCTAGCACTCTGTTTTTAAACCACTCCAGCTATGGTGTTTTGTTGTGGCAGTCCAAGCTGACTAAGAAAAAATCATATTAAGGAATTTGGAGATGAAACCCTAAGCAATTCAGCACTTTATCAGTGAAGTATCGCAGGAAGAGAGATGGATACGGTGTAGGAGGGGGGACACTGAGTTACATACAGCCTGGCCCTATTACTGACTTCATGTGAGACCCTGAACAAGTTGTTCCTTAGTTTGGCTACAGATTCTGCATCTATTTAATTAGGGGACTGGATAAGCTACTCTCACAGCCACTGCACAGCATCACTCCCACCCTCACTTTGACTATGACCGTACCTTGAAACTGCAGTCACTAACGACGCTGCAGTAACTAGGTGAGACAGGAAGAAATAATCACTGAAGGCAGCAATGAGGAGAATAACAAAGTGTCGTTCATAAATTGCAACTCTAGCATGACATAGAATGCAAAATGTATAACTGAGATAAACATTTATGAAATCTGCTTCAAAAACAAATATCAAAATTGAATACTAGCCGGGCTTGGTGGCTCATGCTTATAATCCCAGCACTTTGGGAGGCCAAGGCAGGTGGATCACCTGAGGTCAAGAGTTCGAGACCAGCCTGGTCAACATGGCAAAACCCCATCTCTACTAAAAATACAAAAATTAGCCGGGTATGGTGGTGTGCACGTCCAGCTACTCAGGAGGCTAAGGTGGGAGGATCATTTGATACTGCAAGGTAGAGGCTGCAGATTGTGTCACTGCACTCCAGCCTGCGTGACAGAGTGAAACCCTGTCAAAAAAAAAATGTGAATACTGCAGCACCATCATCATCTCTTCGTGCTAAAGCTTAAGATGTACCAAAAAATTAAAAGAATGCAGATACAACAGAAAGGGGATGCTACGACTACAGAAAGCACAGTGGTCATTCGGGTCCTGCCTACTCTTTGTTAAGGTACATTATGATTTTTTTTCCCAAGATGAAGCATAGGGAAGCATATAATTACACAGGAAAAAGAGAGCATGCAATACTAACCCCGGACATAATAGTG